GATTAGCCAGATCTGGGAGTGGGCGAATCCGTTTCGAGTCATCAGTCTATTTCGGTACCCCAAGATCCTCATCGTCGTGAGTTCTCCTCGCCCTTTCGTCATCAATGAGCCTTTGAGGTGTTCACCAGACCGATTACGGTAAAACAACGGCCGTCCCAGTGGATGTGTAGCTACAGCCTACGGCGGTAAGGCCCTTTACCAATGTGTATCATCAGCTGACTATGCACCCAGGGTGTTGCGGCATCGTCTGTCCTGTGGAATATGCAGGTTCTCTTGACACCAGTTCGCTACGTTATCAACCCGAGATTCCACCTTACCTCCCCTCTGCAGTCAGGATTCTTTTTCTTGGCACCTGGAGCAGGATATCTCGTTGGTACCTTTTTTGGCGGCCGATATGCCGATTACACCGTGAAGAAGTGGATCGCCAAGAGAGGACGGCGTGTTCCGGAAGACCGTCTACGAAGTGCCTTTATCGCGCTAGGGGTTGTCATCCCGGCGACCACCATCATCTATGGATGGGCAATCGACAAGGCTAAGGGCGGAATCCCACTCCCCGTCATCTGCATGTTCTTGCAAGGCGTTGCGCAGATGGTCTGCTTCCCGTGTCTTAACAGTTATTGTTTAGATGTCTTCAGAGAAAGGGCAGCTGAAGTCATGGGTAAGCATGCTCAACCTTCTCCCCTCGGCCTAGTGCCAGATATGCTGACAGTATTTTGCTAGCTGGCAACTACTTCATCAGGTACACTTTTGCTGCCATCGGTACGGCAGTGGTACTTCCAGGTATTCAGGGCATTGGTGTGGGTTGGTTCTCCACAGTGAGTGCTCTCTTCGTTGCGATTTCAAGTGCTGCTGTGTGTGGTATCGTCATCTTTGGTACGAGACAGAAGAACAGGGAGGAAAAGTCGGAACGCGCCTAAGCACATGGGATTGCTAGAGTTTCAATGGGTAACATCAATCAAGCTAAGTCTTCAGTTTCTGTTTCGTCGTTCATCTAGCAAACATCCCGTAGCTTATACCTTAAATTCCAATATCATTGAGATTCCTTCATTACTAAATGTTTGAGACTCTGTGTTACGTAATAGGGATAGTAATCGCACCTCACAAAGTACCCGTCACGTACTAAATTACGTATCTATTTTAAATATCGTATATATAGACCTTTTTTTTTATTTATTTTTATTTTAATAATTAAGTTATTTTTATTATACTCCGTATACTTATTATTATATATTATAACTTATAATAGTTATAAGCTTAGCTCTTAGTTAAGACTTTATATTATAATAACGTACTTATTAATATAATTCTTATAATCTTTTTAAAATAACTAATTTATTTATACTTATTTTAATTTAAGCTAAATTAATTAATTATAATAGTTAGATTAAATAGTTTAATATATTTTATATTATAAATAAGAGTATTAGGGTTTAGAAATATATTAACTTAAACGCTTTAAACTTTAATATATTCTTTAACCCCTTTATAACGCTTATTTTACTATCTAAATTCGAATAATTAGTTATAATTTATAATAAAAAAGAATTATAAACTTATTAAGCCTATTATAAAGCGTTTAAAAACGACTAAAAAAACTAAAAAATCCTTGATTAATAGCTTTTAAATATAACTCTTAGTACGAACTTTTTAACTTTTTTAAATATAAATAACTTATAAAACTAAGCTAAGTTTTTTTTTATAAAACTAACTATATTACTTATTTTATATAAATAAATTTATTTTTATATTATATTTATAAAAAGGATTTATATACTCGAGAGTATTTAAAAATAATAAGAGCTTAATACTAAATATAAATAACTTATAGTTTATAAATATAATATTATTAATATATATATTAAAATCCTTACTTAATAATTAATAAAATTAGTTAATATTATATTATATAAATACGTATTTTAAAAAATTACTAAAAATAGTACTAAGTTTAGTATATAGTAAATCGTTAAATATTTAAAATAGGAATTTATACCCCCCGAATTAGTAATAAGAAATACGGTTTAAAAAAAATATTAATAAACCTTTAATAAAGCGAGGACTAGAATTAACTTTTAATATTAATATAAAAAATAGTAATTTACTTATTTCCGAACTAAAACGTATAATATTTTAAATATTAATAAAAAAATTACCGTACTTAACTTCTTAATTATAATTAAGTTTAGACTTAACTTTATATAGCGCTAATATATATATAAAACCTTTAGTAAATTAATAACTTTTAAAACGTATATAAAGACCCTTAAAGAGATTACGTATATATTTAGCTTAGTAACTTAGGACGTATATACTAAACAACTTTTAAATTAAAGAGGGGCTTATTTTACTTTTATTAAACGCTCTAACTTAGTTAATAACATAAATAATAAGGGTAACGTTATATATCTTTATAATTATATATATTTATAATACCCTATAATATATTAAAAATTAAAATAAATATTTATAAGCTAAAATATTAATAAGTTATTAATATAAATATTAAGGAGTTATATAAAAGAAATCCTTATTATTATTAAATTAAATAAGTAGAAATTATTTTATAATAAGCTTAAGAAAGCTAGTTAGTTAAAGAATAATAGAATCCCTAAAAAACCTAGATTTTTAAAAAGATCCTCTAACTAATTTATAACGAGCTTATTAATAAACTAAAATAAGGGCTATATAATTATTATATTTATAAAGAGTTAGGACTTAGAAATAAACGTAATTTTTAGTACTGTTATAAGTAATACTTACCCCCTCTTTTAAAATATAATAATAAATAATTATAGAGTAATATATTTAGTTAATAATAAGAGTTTATTTAAACTTAAGAGTTATATATTATTAAGTAATAAAGATTATATTAAATTAAAAATTACTATATTACTTATTACTATATATAATATTTATATTATAAAGGGTGTTTTAAACGGACTTAAAAAAAAAAGAACTTATAATCTAAAGCTTTAGAACGTTACTTATATCGAGGGATTTTATATTAATATAATTTTAAAAACTTTATTAAATAAAAGCGTATTTTAATATTATAATTTAGATTATATTATAATAGATTTAGGATACGGCTAGTAATAGGACGCCGATAACTTAGTAACTAATATACGGTTCGTATTATAAAAAAACTTTTTAAAAAGTAGAGCCCTTATAAAGGACTTTATAAGCTTTAGTTTTATAATATACTTATACTTATATTATAACCTTACTAATTAAGTATTTATAGCTTAATTTTTTATAATTCTAAAGCTTTTATTTTTACGGAATAATTAGTATAAATAATAATAAATTATAAAAACGAACGGAATATTAATAAAATAATACTTAGTTATTAATAAAAAGCTATTAGTATTAACGAGCTATAGCTATTTAAAGTTAATTATTTAACCCTATTCTATTTAAAAAAACGAGCTTATTATAGGGCGAGTCTTATTTAAATATTAGTATTTATAAAAGAGCTAGATAAAGAAAATAATTAAAGTAAATTATTTTTATAGGCTAATTACCCCGTTAATACCCTAAGGACCTTATTTATTATAAACGGGGCGTTTATTAATAATTAATCGTTAAATATACGAGGTTAAGGTATATATAAAAATACGGATAGTACTAAAATAGTTAGTTTAATAGACTTTATAAGCTTAATAATAACCTATTTTTATAAAATAATAAAAATAATAGTTAAAGATCGAAACTAAGAACGGCGTTAATATAAAGAGCTCGTTTAATAACTTACTAAGTAATTAGTAATATATTTAGGTTAATAAAAATACGAAAAACCTTTTTTTTATAATTATAAACTAATTAAAAAAGAGTTTATAAATACTTAGGTAGTAAACTAAATTATTATTATAGAGGTAAGTAATAAGCTTTATGTAAAAAGTATTATAGAATAGTATATTAAATAAGCCCTATTTAAAATATCCTTATTATTATAAATATAATAATATAATTACGAAAAGAGCTTTTAGGATCCCCTCTTTTAGGGCGACTTTTTAGTATTTATTTATTAATAATATATAAACCCTAAGACTTAAGAACGGGAATATTATAGAGAGCTAAGGATAAAAAAGCTAAAAAAAGGTTAGACCCCTATTTAGTTTTTTACTAAGTAGTTAGTAATCTATTATAATTTAAGTATAAAAAATATAAAGAATTTAAAAATAGAGGTATATTAATTCTTTTTTAAATTATTATTTTAGTTATAGGACGATTTAATTTATTATAAAGTTTTAATTAAGAGAGTACGTAATATAGCTTACGAGGCTAATAAATTATAGTTATTAAATTAGTAAAAGGGTAGTAATTAGTTATAAAAGGATAATAAGAAGAGGTTATATCCGTTATTAAAATAACTACGTTAAATATCCTCTTTTTATAAAAAAAAAAGTAGGGAGAGCTCTAAGGGGCTAAGTTTTAAGGACTTATTAAGAGTAATATTATAAAAGCTATATAATAAGAGTATTTATACTGAGCTATTATAAAAATATTATAATAATAATATTAAATACTTTATATATAATAAAATAGGTTATATATTTAGTAAGTACTAAAAAAATAAGTCGGGAAGTAGGGGTAATAATAAGCTAATATACCCCTAATTAAAACTAACGTTAATAACTATTTAATAAGTTATTACTAAGCTAAGAATTATAAAAGTCGACTCGTTAGAAAATAAGTAAATATAAGTAATATATTTAATATATTTATATTAAATATTAAAAAAGTATTAATAAAAATAATTATAAAGGGTAGGGTAATAGTTTTATAAAATATTATTAAAAAGCTAATAAAAGTTAATATAAATATATATTCCGAGATAGATATTATTAATACTAGGCTCGTAACTTACTTAGGGTTAACCCTAGCTATTACTATAGCTCTCTTATTAAAGGACTTTTAGAATAAAGCTATAAACTAGGAAAAAGCTTATTAATTAACGCTCTTTTTTATTAATTATTATAAATAACTAAAGAAGATTTAATAACTATTTATTATAGTTAATAGAAATAAAAGAATAGTAAACCTTTTATTATTATAACTATTAATAAGCTAAGAGGGTATTTATATTAATATAATAACGAATATATAATTATATAAGTTTATTTTAGTTATTAAACTAGAGGTAATAGCTCGTAATATTATTAAGAATTATAAGAAGGTATATATACTATATATTATTATTATAAGAAGTATTATAAGGGTAATAGAGACTAAATTATAAAAGGATTTATTATTAAAACTTTAATTAGAAATAAAAACGTTTAATAAGTAGTTAGTAAAAGGACCGTAGTTATATAACGGGGTAAAATACTTAATTAACTTAGTTTTAGGTACTAAACTATTATATAGTTCTATTTATTTATTAAATAAGAAATAACTCGATAAGCTTTATACGTATATTACTAAGAACTTAGCGAACGGTCGTATTATACCTTTAGTTAGTAAAACTAGGGTACTAATTTTTTTTATATTAAAAAAGGATAATATACTACGCTTTTATATAAACTACTACGGGCTAAATAAAATAATTATAAAGAATCGATACTTATTACTACTTATTAATAAGCTCTTAAATAAGCTTTATAAAATAAAATAGATTTTAAAAATAAATATTAAGGATACTTATTACTATATCCGAATTAAAAAAGAAGACTAATAAAAAATAGCGTTTTAGAGTTAATACGGTTATTTTAAATATATTATTATACTTTTTAAGTTAACGAACGTACTCGTAACGTTCTAAATATATATTTACTAAGCGCTCGCTAATTTACTAAATACTTATTATATAATATATATAAACGATTTAATAATTTATTTAATAATAAAAGAGTAGTATATAAAGGATATTAAAAAGGTCCTTTAATATTTATAGTTATATAAGCTTTTTATTAAA